TTGTAAACCTTTTAGGTGACTTTGTTATTTTCATCAGCGCCGGTACTGCTGAATGTGTGGTTCTGTTTCCTGAACCCCCGAGCGTGCCAGCTGGCAGGCCAAAAGGCATCAATAAAATTATGAAATTGCTATTAAACCCCGTAAATGGATCTCTTCCATCCATCTTTCTGCACCAATCCATCTAGGTTTAGGGATGGGTGCAGTTTCAGCACGCTGAACCAGCTCTCCTTCCGTCTCTTTCCCTGCTCTCAGAAGGAATGACAAGCAACGTGCCTCTGCTTTTCATTGGCAGCCAACAGCTACCTTGTGGGAAAGTAATGAAAACCTTGTTGTAAATAATAAAATATGCTACAGAGGAGCTTCTTATTCTTTGGCTTTCTCTCTGTTTCTAGATGCCAGCAGGAGGCGTTGACGAAGAGAAAACAATGACCCATAAACCCATCTGCCAGTGTGAACTCGAGGGCACAATAATTTTCCTCCTTTCCACGGAAGACTCCCAAAATACACACTTTGTGCCAAAGGAACACCCCTTCTTTTTTGGGGGAAGGATCTCCCTCAGACTTCCAATGTAAAAGCGGTTGAAACCAGATTTCACAGACTTCGATTCCCACAGCCTTTTGATTGTCCCCATAAAGCTTGGCATGCTAGCCAGGCGATGTGTGTGGGTTTTCCTTTAAAGACCCTCCTTTATTTTGCTCTGTTTAACTTAGACAGAAAAGATATATTTTTTTCTTCCAAGAAGGTGTAACAGTGCAACTTTCAGATCAGTTCTCAATCATATCACAAAAGGCCTTCCTTCCTTCCTTCCTTCCTCCCTCCCTCCCTCCCTTTCTTTCTTTCCTTCCTTCCTTCCTCCCTCCCTCTTTCTTTCCTTCCTTCCTTCCTTCCTTCCTTCCTTCCTTCCTTCCTTCCTCCCTCCCTCCCTCCCTCCCCCTCCCTCTTTCTTTCCTTCCTTCCTCCCTCCCTCCCTCCTCCCTCCCTCCCTCTTTCTTTCTTTCCTTCCTTCCTTCCTTCCTCCCTCCCTCCCTCTTTCTTTCCTTTCTTCCTCCTTTCCTCCCTCCCTCCCTCCCTCCCCCCTCCCTCTGCCACAGTGATGAAAGCAGAAGTGGGCTTGTAAATTATACGTTCATTTATATGAGAAATAAGGATCTCGGAGCCATCAAAGCTAGATCAAGTTAAACATTTAATCCAAATACATTTTTCTCTCCAGATGAAATTGGCACCATCTAAAAGCAACGTGAACTTTGCAGAGTGGGAGGTCTCATCCTTTGGTTGAAATCCATCAAGCTAATTGGTTTTCGGCTTGCAATGCTGGTAGTGACCGAAATTGTTCCTGCAAATTGACTATGATGGGATATTGAGATGCATCATTAAATGCTGGTTGTTGGTTGCTTTTCTGTAATGAACTTATTCTTAGGAATTCAAGTCAGTGTACACGGAAACTGCCCCTTTTCTCTGCCTAGCAGGAGGTCAGGTCCAGAATCACCCCAAAAGTTTTGTGCCCCAGAAGGGTTTGGAACTTTGCTCTCCTGATGCATTTTCAGAAGTTTAACTGGGACTTCACATGTGGACCTGGCCTTTTGCACCTGACAACTGGAGAACCTTTTGTCTGTATATATATTTTTAATTTTCTCTGGATGGGGGAGAGGGTTGACTCTTCTTCCCTCCTCATGACATGATCTTTGGGGGTTTTTTTGTTGGACTTTTGTCTGTTTTCATATGTTAAGCCACCCGAGTCACAGCCCAGCCTAGAGATGGATTTCCTGTCCTTTGTAGGGAAAGCGAGTGAAAACAATCGCATAACCCAGTGTTGAAGCTTAACATTGTCCCCACCCTAGCTGGAAATCTAACACCTAAAAGAAACCTTTGGAAATTCCCACCCTGCCCACCTTAGTGTTATCGACATAGCAAATCTGACTAAAACAAATATAATTATGAGGTCCTGGGTAAAAAGACAACCTGTCCACAGTGATGAGAGAGACTCATTTAAACTGAACGAACTATTTCGGCCTTCCCAACAGATACCTGACGCTCGGATCCTTGAATGTTCAGCTATGGCCACAATGCTGGGGGGAATTCTGGGCGGTTACGCTCAGAATCAAGAGGGTGGCTGGGTTGGATCATTAGCACAGAATTGTATGTTTTAAAAAGGACTGAAGAGGCCAAGGAACAGGCTTTTCCCCCTGTCCATTTTGGATCATACTGGGTACATTGTTGAACCCTGTTTTTACAGCTACTATGGCTATAACTGAGTAATACACGAATTAATGCTCATTTAGTGCTGAGGAGAGGCTTGGAGAGCGAAGCAGATGTCAGAGAAAAATAGCTGCTCTACTGAATACGTCATCTGTGGTTTGCAACCAACTCCTACTCTAGTCTGGGGGCAACAATCATGTTCAAAGAGTAGTCTCAATGAGCAGGTGCAGTTCTGGTCAGTTGGAGATCAATGAACTGGGACACCAGTTCGAGGCTGTAGAAGATGCAGTATAGAAATAAGAACTGCATGACAATACCGATCTAGGGGAAGACAAACTCCGAAACTCAGGATGTCAAGGATATCTGGAGTGGCTTCTCAGGTGAGTCTGAGACTCTGAACTGGGAGACTCTGCTTCAGAGGCTGTATCAAGATGCAGGCAAGAAGCATCTTCTTGTCCTGATCATTCCTTCCTTCTGCTGTCCTTCTAACTTCTCTCTGTCTCTGAGTGCCTCCATCTTGGCTCCTCCTTATTCTGCTGCCTCAATCTCTGCTCTCTCATGATCATTCAGTCTGTGCTTTCTGAGACTCTGGTGTTGATTCACTTCTTATTGATCTTCACTAACTTACAGCTTGTCCTATCTCTCCTTCATCTTCCTTCCTTCCTTATTTCCTTCCTTCCTTCCTTCCTTCCTTCCTTCCTTCCTTCCTTCCTTCCTTCCTTCCTGTCTTCTCTCTCTCTCTCTTTCTTAATTTTGCTTCCCACCCTCTTTCCCTCCCTCTCCGCCTTCCTGCTTTCTGAAAAGAAAAGGAAAATCTATCTTTTACATTGATTTGTCAATGAATTCACTACTATGTGAACAATGTGAGATGCTATTGTAAGATATCATAGAAACTATGGTGGAGATTGCTGTATCCTTTGATTAGTAGAAAATATTGTCTGGTCAGTCAGCTCTTACGTTTCTTACACCTACAGCATTAAAAAAAAACAAACTGTTGTCCATACTTTCACATACATTCTTTGGTGAAATACAATTTTTGCTGAATTAACCTTAATCTCAAATCTATGGCTACCTCCATGCGCAAGTTCTTTCCCTACAGCTGGCCAGGCTGCTAAGCTCTGGGCATCAAGGCTTCCTGGTTAGAAGGGCCAAAGCAATATGTGCATCTCACCTCTACGTCACCCACAGTGTCTTCTCCAGGGAATGTGATGGATGAGCTCTCAAACCCAAAAGCTTTGGAAAAACTGCAGAGAACTGAGATCAAACCTCACCGAGCATAAATCAAACACAGACCCTCCGACTTCTTTTCTCCCCCTTTATTTTGAGAAGCAGCAGCAAGGATTTCTTGGCATCCAGTTTGGTTGACTGATATATTAACTTTCCATCCTGATGGAAAGATAATTCCAGAGGGGAAAAGAGATACTTTCCCCAATTTATTAAAGGGCTGGCCGAAGACCGTTAAAGCCGTTTGCCAAGCGGGTTTGGTGATGTTCAATATATATTTATCTTACATTCCTATCAAAATGCACACTTGAAAAATTCAGCCCAAACTCAATTTCTAGTCATTATTATAACTTACCCTCTAATATGGGCTTATTGTAGTCTACATACATCTCATGCACACTTCTCAAAATAAATTCATCTTCAATGCCATTATCCAGATGTTCAGATATCCTGGAATGGGGCTTCTATATTATCTGTCTCTTTTCACAGACTTTGAGGTACATAAAGAATGTTTTGCAATGTATTTCTGTAAAAAGACACGGTGCAAATATTTTTAATCAACACAGGTGTGACTGTGGAGCAGGAAAGTGTTGCTTATTGTTCCAGAACTTCAGCAACTTCAAAGGCTGTCTGGAAAAAAGGACTTCCAGTAATCTTGATTGGTTATCCTCAGATGAAATGAATAAGGTAGAAAATATCATCTGGAAGGATTCACCTACCCATCCTGCTTGGCTGAGCATGAAGATGACCCACCAATCATTGGTTAAGAACATCAACGTCCATCATTCTCAACCTGCCCCAGGATCAATGTCTTCCCTTATTTTGTTTCTAAAACATGTCTAAAATGACATTTTTCAACTTTGGCCTGCCCAGGCTGTGCTAAGTGTCCACTTCGAGGCAAGTTTTTCAAAGGAAGCTTATTGGGCAGTCCCTGTGTTGTTGTGTTCGGCTACCTACCACATATCCTTGGACCTTGGCCAGTGGTCTCCAGGGCTGTAGTGGTTGATAGGCTGATTCTAACATGTCCACCATGTTGTGTAGGTGGGAAGAACTGTACACGCGTCTCTCTCTCTCTCCCTCCAAAATTCCTCTCCCTCCACCAGTCTTCTAGGGGAAGCGTCTCAGACCGAAGTCTTTTTCTTTTAACACCCGGGTGTCTCTTGTTGTGAATCCCTCCCCTTCTTTCACAGGAGTTGGATCAAAAGTACAATATATGCTTTCCAAATCAAAGTAACCAGAAATAAGAAGAAGGAAATACAAATTGTCCCTTTCATTGTTAAGCACGTGGATGCTAAACCAATTACAGGTAGCTGAAAGAAAGACTACAGTGCCGATAAAGTCATAAACACCCTCTTAAAAATCAATCTCCAATAAAATACTATTCAGGATACTGAAGAGCAACTGATAGTGGTTTGGACGTGTAGCTGAAAGAGCCAAGGTGGAACAAAGGCACAAGAACCGAGTAGGCATCAAGTACAATAAACTCCCGATACAAAACACCAGAAACAATGACCAGAGACGCATTCCAGCTATCAGCATTGATCGAGTAGATTAAAGCACGCATCTTTAAAAAGATCAAGGACCTGACTGCAAAATGCTTTATTCTTTAGCAACAAAGGATTCTCCCAGCATGCTTTTTCCCGTTTGCTTCTCCGGGGCTCCAGTATCTGGTGTGGACATTGATTGGTTCATCTTTAACTGTGGGTTAATTTGTGTGATTGAAACCACGATGAGTTTCATTTAACTTTTGATGGGTTCAGAAGATTTCTGTGAAAGGAAAAGCGGGCCTGAGTTAATTAAGGTTAAAGGAACAGCTTCCTGTTTCAGTCTAATTTCACACTACAATGAACAATGTCGAGGTGTCAACTTCTTTGTTAAAAGTGTCTTGCGTTGCACTGGCAAACTGCTCAATGGTGTATAATTTGGCAAAAATTCAGGAGATCCTGTCAACTGATATTTTCTGATTTATTTATTTAATGCATCTGGGAAATGAATTGTGAATAGCACAATGTACTAAAAAGTGAACAAAAGTATGAATAAAGAGAAAAGCTAGACTTGTTTGTGCCTCTTAAATTTCATGAGTGAAAGGTTGACATTCTTCTAGTCAGATCCGCTCTTGATATTCAGTTGCTCACTTGGATCTCTTTTATAATTTCAAGAGGACCATGACTCCCCATCCCCTGGTCTCCCTTTCACGTACATCTTGCAAGCCATCTCCAAATCATCATTTGCTTCCTTTACCTATTAGTTAGATGGATACCCTACTTTTTAGTCAGGAACTCAGGGCAATGTGAGCAGAATTCTCTCTTCCCGTTTTGCACCCTAACCACAAACCCTGTCAGATGGGTGAATTTTGAGACAGGCCCAAAGTCATCTAAAGCGCTCTTGCTGCTGCAGAGGATTTGAACTTATGTCTTGTCCTATCCTTCCACTCCCCTCCCCCCATCAGAACTGTTGAAGCTTCTTGGGTGAGAAGATGTTTGTGGTTGTGGTCCCAGAACAGATATAAATCTCCCGGCGGAAGGAATTAATTTCATTCTGTACTATAATTCTCTCCTTCCTAAATGTCAGTGAATTCATTCAATCTTAAATAAGAGAAGCAGAGAAAAGGACAGGCCTGGAGCAGCAGAACAGATAACAAATTTGGAGGACCTGAGGATGAACTCCTTGTTCCCTCCTGTCAGGCTGTGAACAATCATCCCAAATAATGACTTGGCATCCACCAGGAAAGGGCGAAGAGCCCGTCACACTTAGAGCCTTCAAATTATTTAAACAGGTGCCCAATAGAGCAGGACAGGGTCCCATGTTTAGGGGGATGGAGGAAAACAAATAAGAACCAAGAGCTAAGCAAAAGTTGCAGAAACAAAACAGCTATTAAATTATTTGGCTTTGCTCTTCTCTGGCTGGATGAAACTTGCCTACAGATTGCTGATAGCATTGCAATTTTTTTCGTCATGAGTTTCCCCCCCCCCTCTGGTACACAAAGAGAAAAGTATATTTGTGACAACCCTGTGATAGTGCTTCCATCTAGATGAAGTTCTTTGTGATATGTGATGGTACATACCATGGGTATCTGCAGGGAAGGTTCAAAAAAAATCAAGATGGTGGCCATGGCCATGTAATCAATGACCCATTCATTTGATGTGCTGTACCCCTCCCTGTGAACCCTTCTGAGATACGTAGAATTGGTCTACATTCTTTCTTCTCTCATTTCCCCCCCTCCCCCATCGTCTTCTAAACCCTCTGAGAACATTTGGACAGTTTCATGTTTAATCAGGATTTGAATCTAAGAGCCCAGGACTTAAGGCTAAGGTAGGTTATCTGTGATCCCTCAAATTGGAATCCTCACTTGGGATACAAAAGAAGTCATTTATGGATCTTCCTTACTTCTGAAGATTTAACATCCACACCCATTCAAGACTGTTTCTCTCCACCAGCATCAGTTGACCCTGGATGACCCTGCTGATCTCAAGTCATCTCAAGAAGAGACTTTGAGGGTCTCCACTCCAAGTGAGGAGAAATAGGCCTGAAAAGGCTCGAACTATGGAGCACGTTTCTTCTCAGATATGAGAGATACCATCTTAGCTGCCTTTTGCGAAGCGGTATTGATCCTTCTATTCAGGAATGGTTTTCTGGTGGATGATGGACCTGAGCAGTGGTTATTTTATTAATTAAAAAGAGCCTTGGTAGTACAGTGGACTAAAGCACTGTTATTAACATCTGCTGCTTGCAATTACTGCAAGTTCGAATCTCACCAGGCTCAAGGTTGACTCAGCCTTCCATCCTTTCCAAGGTAGGTAAAATGAGGACCCAGATTGTGGGGGCAATAAGCTGACTTTGTATAAAAATATACAAAAGTATGAAGGCTATTGCTTAACGCATTGTAAGCCGCCCTGAGTCTCCGGAGAAGGGCAGCATATAAATTAAAGCAAAAAAATAAAATAAAATTGTTTTGTGTTCTTTTCTTTCAGTTTTAACCAGCACGAGTCTTTGTAAGCAAGGCAGATATAGAAACATCTATATAAATCAAATACATCAAACAATTTAAAAAAATGCATGAAAAGGGCTAAGGATTAAGTAGCCCTGTTCCCAACTAACTCAGCACCAAGAAAGGTCTGTGAAAAAGCAACCACAATTTCAGATTCCATCAAGAAGTCTATATTTTCTACATATCGAAAATAATTGTTCCACTTAATTCTATATTGGTCAGGCTTCACCTCAAACACCAAAGCCTTTTGTGGCCTCACACTTCAAAAGAATTCTCAGAGAAACTGGAAGAGTTTATTTTTAATGGTTCTGTACATCATTTTATAAAAGTTCCCTTTATAACAGGGTGAATTTCAACCTTTTAACCACATATTTTCCCATCCTTCCATCTGTATATTATAACCAAAGTTTTTAGCTCACTTTATCATTTGTTCTTCCGCTCGTTCGTCTTCTGTTTTATATTTCAATAAAAGCTTATACTTTAGCAATCACATGTGCATCGTTTGTCTATAGTGCTGTTTCAAATTCAGTCTTAAATGGTTCAAAACCATAAAATCTTTTATCTACTTTCAGATAACTGTAAACAGTAAAACATAGATATTCATCCCTATAAAGACGGGTTGAAGGAATAGGATATTTTTAGCTTTGAAGGAAGAAAAAGACTGATGGGAACCTAATAGCATTTTTCAAAGTCTTGCAAGTTCATCAGACAATCTCATCTTATTCCAGCTTGCAAAAACATGGAATTATGGATTAATGTTACAGGAAGTTACAGTTTCCTGCTCTGAAAGCCATGATTTTAGGAATTCTGGTTTATTTATGGAGCTTAACTCTTGGTTTTTATTTTACATATTTATTTTATAAACAGTTCATTTCCTAATGATGTAATTCCACTCCCCTTTAACTAGAAATAACTTTTGCAGAAAGCATAAATATGCTCTGCTTAAAGCTCTACTCTTTTGGTGCAGAAACTAAAACAAATATTTGTCATTTGTGATAGAGATTCAGACTGGATTTGGAATTCTAATACTAGAACATTATTGGGAATTAGAATGTTCTAATATTCTCTTTTCTATAATAGAGAATATTATATATTATAAAATATTATCATTAGAGATTAGGATATTATTTTTTTTTAGCGATTTGGACTGGATTTGGTGTTCAAAATAGTAATTCTAACATTTTGACGTTCTAATGTTTATGGGTAGTTATAATTCCAACCAGAACTGAACTGGAATCATTTGACTTTCTTCCTCTTCCTCCCCTCAACTTCAAGGGGGAAAATCCTCGCCACAGACCCAAGCTTTGAAGGATATAACTCAATGTCCTCATATCCCACATGTTCACCCCGAGGATGTGATCTAACCCAGTGACAGTTGGATATAATCTTTATTAGTTTTACCTTTGGAAAGGTTAAACGTGTGAATGAAACCCGCATGAGAAGGCTTAACTCCGATGCTGCTGGGGGATCAGAAGAGGGTGGCAGAAGGAATGTTCCAGAAGTGAAGAAGGGGCCCTCCTGTGATCCGAGGCCTGATGTGATTTAACACAGAAGCACAGAGGCCTTTCAAGATCGCACTTCTGTTTTCCTAAGGAGCCGCTGCCGAAGATACGCACACAAATTATGATAATACAGAACAGTTGGCAAAAAAGACCAGCAATGATATCTAATAATAATAAAAAAAAAGAATATTCTGTAGGCCACAAGGCTCTTTTGTTATCACAAACCATCTGTTTCTACAAGACGTCTGAACCTCATTGGCATCTTGTAGCTGGGCTTTGTGGAGGGGAAGGAGAGGGAAAAAATATCTTCAAACCTTCCTTCCCATGCTTAGAATTTTCTTTTATTAACAAATCTGTTAATAAGCCACATTTTGGACTATCACCTGTTATTAACCTGGATCTGTAGATGTGCTAAATGCATAGTATCTGCTTTGGAATTGGTCCAATATGTTGGCCCTTGAAAAAAAGAAACACAATTTCCATCAGTTTCTAATTGTCTTTTTCTAAGGTTAAAACCAGAAGAAATTTAGAATGGCTTGGTCTAAAATGAGGGATTTAAAGTAGAAACACCTGGGGAAAATATTTGAAGGCTCAACTTGTCTTTGATTGGCAGATGGAAGGATTGGGTCATTCCATGCCACAAACTAGAGGAAAGACACGAGTCACACTTGTGAATATATCTGGGAGAGGGGCTTGCTGGTCTTCCAGCTGTGAAAGAAATGTGAGGAACCCAAATTAAGAGTTTAAAAGTTAATGTTTGAACAGGGTGATTTTTTTAAATTATTATTTTTAATTTGATTTATATGCCGCCCTTCTCCGGAGACTCAGGGCGGCTTACATACAATGTGTTAAGCAATAGCCTTCATACTTTTGTATATTTTTATACAAAGTCAGCTTATTGCCCCCACAATCTGGGTCCTCATTTTACCTACCTTAGAAAGGATGGAAGGCTGAGTCAACCTTGAGCCTGGCGAGATTCGAACTTACAGTAATTGCAGGCAGCTGATGTTAATAACTGTTAATAACAGTGCTTTAGTCTGCCGCGCCACCAGGCCCATTAGATTTAGGCTGTAAAAATCCAACTGCTCACTGGATTCTGATGTACTGTCATTCATCTCTCTCTCTCTCTCTCTCATCTCTCATCTCTAATCTCTCTGTCCATCTTCCATCCATCCATCCATCCACCCATCCCTATCTATCTATCTATCTATCTATCTATCTATCTATCTATCTATCATCTATCTATCTATCTATCTATCTATCTATCTATCTATCTATCTATCTGCATGATCTCAAATATCACTTGAAAATGGCTTTTGCAACTGGGGACACTCTGGTAAAGCCCCCAAGTCCCCTACCTCTTGCCCTTTCTTCCTTTCTGATATCACAATTTGTGAAGGGAAGTAACTTTTTTCATAATAATTTATGACTGCTTCCTTTTACCCAATATGATAAATGTCATAAATCAAACATTTTAATTTGAATAACTTATTCAACTGTCAGAAACTTAATTTTGTTGCCACAAATGTGTTTCCTCTTTTCCAATACTTTGCTTTTAGGCGAACTGTCTCTGCATTTCTGGACTGCAGGCAAAGAGCAAAGATTTCCATTACAAGGAATCTAAAGAAAAAGATCCTCTTTTGGGGCAGCTGGTTACTATATAGCAGTTGAAAATAATCCTACAAACAACAGGGAACCAGATATTGATGTAATTTGCCATATATAGGATTTCTTTCTGTCTCTCTCTCTCTCTCTCTCTCTCTCTCTCTCTCTCTCTGTTTGTATGTGTAAGACCATATGCACAATAAAAAAAACCCACTGTGTGTAACTTAATATCAATAGACTATATATTTGAGAAACACCTTTGAAGTGCCAAATCTGATGATCCAAAACATACGTCTATGGTAAAGATATTTATTCTCTCCGCTGCTGGACTGGTAGCCTTTAGGCAATTCAGGGGGGGTTTGTTTTATAATCTGACAAAACAGATATCAAGTTCTCTAATATTTTGAACTGGGGGCATCGATACCATGACTATATTTTAAAGATCTGGGTGTGTTTTTTTCCACGAAATGCTTTTTTTTCCTTTTCACTTAATTTCTGTGATTTTCATTACTGCTCCTGAAAGTTATAATTTTTTTTTGTTACACTTTTCTTGTCCAAGGTTTATCTGATTGCTGAAAGCTCGTAGCCTTGTGAGAATCAGTCTAATTATTTCCACATCCTTTCCTTTTCAGATAAAACATCAGTCACACCCTTAGAGTGTACTTCAATGTTGCTTTTAAAACTCCATTCCAGTCTGTAAAAGTGTGAAGTTTGCAGAATAGTATAAACATTTTCCTATTATTATTTTTTTTAAATGACAGCAGGTGGACAGAAGCATGGCATTTCCCTTCTTTGTGCAGTTGTGTTGATCTGGACTTGTATTTCAGCTAAAAGTTTGACTGAATTTATTTTATTTATTTATTTTATTTATTTATTTGTCAAGAACCTATTTGGTAATAAGTATAAGCATGGATTGGATACATAAAATAGATACAAATAGAGGAAACATTAGGACAGGGACGGAAGGCACGCTGGTGATCTTATGCACGCCCCTTACAGACCTCTTAGGAATGGGGTGAGGTCAACAGTAGATAGTCTTAGGTTAAAATTTTGGGGGGTTTGGGGAAGAAACCACAGAGTCAGGTAGGGCATTCCAGGCATTGACCATTCTGTGGCTGAAGTCATATTTTCTGTAATCGAGTTTGGAGCAGTTCACTTTAAGTTTGTATCTATTGTGCGCTTGTGTATTGCTGTGATAGAAGGTGAAGTAGTCATTGACAAGTCGGACATTGTGGCAAATAATTTTATGAGCTACGCTTAGGTCAGACCGAAGGCGACGTAGTTCTAAATTTTCTAAGCCCAGAATTTCAAGTCTGGTGACATAAGGTATTTTGTTGCGAACAGAGGAGTGGAGGACTCTTCTCCTGAAATATCTCTGGACTCTCTCAATTGTATTAATGTCCGATATGCAGTGCGGGTTCCAGACAGATGAGCTGTATTTGAGAATTGGTCTAGCAAATATTTTGTATGCTCTGGTTAGTAGTGTGATATTACCAGAGAAGAAGTTACACAAGATGAGGTTTACAACTCTTAATGCTTTTTTGGCAATGCTGTTGCAGTGAGCTCCAGCACTTAGATCATTAGATATGAGAACATAGAGTACTCCAAGGTCCTTGACAGAGTGAGGGTCATCTACAAGGTCGTGTCCACTCAGCTTGTATTTTGTGTTCTTTTATTTATTTATTTATTCTTAGATATTTATTATTTATTTATATTTATTTATATATTATTAAATATTTATTATTATGTATTTTGTGTTTTTAGCAGCTCCAAGATAAACACTAAGCCCCCCCATTACATTGTGCACTTATAAAATGCAACAAGGCAGAAAAATAACCAGCGAAAAATTACCCGTGTTTGTGCCAAGGCTATTTTTATGCTGTCATATTGTTGTATACATTTAATAACTAAATCACCTGGCTTTAGTAACAATCACCCTTCCTCTCACCTAAAGCAGAAGGAGAATGCCAGTCTCCCTTATTGCTTATCCTTGCCCATAATTCCATTTAAAAAAAAAAGAGAGAGAGAGAGAGAGAGAGAAAACCCTATATTTTTCGTGCCAAATTAAACACCCCCATACATTCCGCATTATTGCTCTCGAGCTGCACTCTTGGATAATGGCGGATAATTACAGCCCAGCCAAGCGCCTCAGTTCCCTGTCAGGAAGAACCGGCTCCTTGCTGGGCTGCTTCCTTTCCCGCCTGGCTCCCCCACTGGCAGGTTGTGATGGCAGAGGCTCCTTTGCTTCCTCTGAAGCGGAGGACACCCCTGGCAATGCTGGGGTTTCCCCCCCTGCTGTTGACTTGATCCCAATGCTGGCTTTGGTGGGAAGGCCGGCTCCATTGCCTCTGACTCCTTAGCACCTCCTGGCCCACTGACAAAGGGGAGGCTGTGGGGTGCAGCTAGAGAGCTCAGTATTTCTTCTGGTTTTCCCTCGCTTTTCATCTTGCTTAGTTGCCAAGTTGTGTCTGACTCTTTGTAATCCCATGGACCAGAGCCTGTCAGCCCCCGCCCCCCCATCCTCCATGGTCTCTGGGAGTTTGCCCCAATTCACGTCCATTGTGTCAATGACCCTATCTAACCATCTCCTCCTCTGCTGTCCCCTGCTCCTTTGGTCGTCCCTCTTTCCCAACATCGGGGTCTAAGAGATGGCAAATCTGAAGTCTCTTCCTTTGGCTCTTCTACCTAAGCTTAGAGTAGATGCTTTTGAGCATTTCTTCTGGTTGGGTGTACTATAGATGGCTGGCTATTTTGCTCATTCTCACAATGTATTTCAAGAAATAAGCCTCATTTCTGTTGTAGTTGTAAAACCTGATTGGCTAATGATTGCTTGGGTAAGATTCCTGAGTTCAGGAATTCCAAAACGTACACCACCAACAGATTTAATTGTGGTAGTGATTATATTTTGTAAGCTACTTTGGGAGGAGAGTATGGGAGTATGGGAGGCAGCCGTTGGATCTTTGAAACTGGGTCATAAGTAGCTCTTGGGAAGTCTGTCATAACATTGAACAGTTGCTAAGCAACTGGTTGTAAATTAAGGACTACCTGTAAACAAACTGTAGTCAGAAGGCAAAGGAAGATTTATTATATATTAGAATATGGTATACCATCTGAATTAACAGCAGCTGTGAAGCCTCATAAAATCTGGAGGCCAATTCATCATCAGCTGACCAAGGACATAGTTGTGAGTCCAGGGGATGGAATTCTCTTGTCTTGCCTTTTTCTGGGAACAACTGGGTTTTTTTTACCCTGCATTCTTTTTTTTCCCTTTTCTTTTCCCCCCTATTTTTTCCAGTGCTGCTGTTTAAGTTTCTTGTGTTCCCAAATCCAAGCCAGGGATACAGTCAACTTTACAGGATTTTCTTAATATAGGAGAATTCATTTAGTTCTGCAGAAAGGTTGATAATTAGAAACAACCCGGAGCATCAGATATTTCACTAACTGTCTATAATGTTTGACCCCTTTAAACCTTTCGTGACAGAATGAAAAATTTCAGCTTAATTGGCTCCCCCCTCAGTGTATGTTTGTGAAACATATTGCAAAACTGGTGCCAGAAAGCAATTTGAAATCTCTCTGTTTATTTCTCTTAGATATTTTTTTCCTTTCTCTCCAGTTTTTCGTTTTTCAAAGTTCATGCCTTCCAGATTCAGCTGGTGAAACTTAGGGAAGCTAGTGAAGCAATAGGAAAGTTTTTTTGGATGATTGTTTGCAAAATTAGTTGTTTTTAAGACAGGATTGTGGCTTCATGAAGTCTTTGATTCATTCCAAAATTATTCTTGTTTGCATTCAACAGTTTTTGGCCTGTCTGCTGCAGAATCCACCTGCAGCTTCAAGGCTGAATCTTGCATTCTTCAGTTTCTCAACAAAACTTTTATTACTCTTTGTCCTTAACAGAATACCAGAGTTGGAAGGGACCTTGGAGGTCTTCTTGTCCAACCCTCTGCTCAGTCAGGAATCCCGATATCATTCCAGACTAATGGTTATCCAACATCTTCTTAAAAACCTCCAGTGATGGAGCATTTACAACTTCTGGAGGGAAGTTCTTCCACTGATTAATTGTTCTCAGTGCCAGGGAATTTCTCTTTAGTTCTAGGTTGCTTCACTCCTTGATTGGTTTCCCTCCGTTGCTTCTCCACTCCCAAAGTTACAACTTGGTGAAGGCTACGTTTTGCATTCATGGGCCAATTATCATTCTTGTCCATCTATAAAGGATCAGAAGCAGTTGGCTGAGCCTGAACCTTTTTTTAAATCTTCGTCTCCATGGAACATCTGACCCAGGTATAACTGGGCTTACTGGGAATTTTTCTATAAATAACGGTGCATTTTTTCTCTCCCACTTTTAACCCGTTTTTAAAAGTGGGAGAATCTGTTTTGCTTGTTTGCTTTTCAATGACAATGCAGCTATTTTACATATTCATTTTTGCAACAATCCTTCTTCTATGTATTTTTCAATTCAGCAGTCTAGAAATCACTTTTCCCTTTTCCCAGAACAATACATTCCTTTCACCTTGTTTCAAAACAATCCTTTTTGCTTTTGTTCACTTTCCAGTCATTTCAATGGAGAATTAACTTACAAACAGGACTCATATTTTCTTTTCTTCCTTCTACTGTTCCTTTTCCTTCTTTTTTTCCTCTACATCTATTAGTTTTCTTAACTTCACTTTTGATACAAACTTTTCCCATATTCAGAACCTCCAGCATCCTTCACTAATCCTCTCCAAACATCAAACACGGTCATATCCAACACCCTTCTAGATTCCTTCCTTGCTCTGGTGTGCATATGAATACGCTCAGAGCATGTATTTGAAGCAAAACTAATGACTTGTGAACAGAAACACACCAGTCACTGTATCAATTCATTCATGGGTCTCCAAATGGTCCAATGGCTTTTTGTAGTCTCTCATTCTGAGCCCTTGTCTCCTAGCAGAATATTTTCCACCCTGGCCTGTGTTCAATCTGGCAACACATCATCTCGACACTTCCACTGTTTTATAACTTAAACTTACTTTAAAGGGTTTTTTTTTTTAAAAAAATCTTGCATCGTTTCAGCCAACAAAAATGTCCTTTGTTGTATTTTTACTTCTTTTCATGCCCGTCTAGTTGGGAGGCCCTCGCTGACTTTGGCTCCCCCCAAAGAGTTAAGCAGGTGTCCTCCTTGTAACGTAAGTATGAAAGGCCCATGAAACCATGGGCTGTGATGTCTTAAATGTGCTTTCTAATTTTGTGCTTGGGGATGGATGGAAGGACAAGGGGGATTCACAGCAGAGTTGATTTTCTGTGCAGAAAAATAGGAAGGTTTATTTGTAGGCCAGTCCAAGAGTTTTAGGAAGTGGGCTAGAAGGATCTAGTCTAAAAACCAGAGAAATTAAGCCATCCCTGTGATGTATCAATTTCATGCCCATTTTCATTGTCTTTAAAAATCCATTCTTTGTAAAATGACCCATACAATTTGGGTCCAAGAAATCCCACCTATACTGTATATACTATTAAAACCAGTTTCATCCCTCTGAAATAAAATTACACTAAGAATTTTCTTTATTCATACTACCAGGCTAAAGCAATGAAGGGAGCCTGTAATGTCCCCCAGAGTTACTTGCAGTTTTATTTTATTCATTGATGTTTTTTACCCAGTAACCTGAACCACAACATATGAACACCACTGAAATAGTTAGCCTCCACTTAATTTTTAAAATAGGAACTGCCTGAGAGTTTCACTGTGTTATGCAGAAGCCACTGAGCTATTTGGATCCACTGATTTCATCCTACCCGCCCCAAAATATTTTAATTAAATCCTTATCGGATCTCAATGCTTTTTCTCTTCTGTTTTATATAATCTCCTGTTTTACAAACAAACAAAAAATCCCCACTCTTCCAAATTGCATTGGGTTGGACAGTTGACCTTCTTGATGGAGATGTTTAGCTCCAGCAATGCTTCAAGATTAGATGCTTGAATAAATGCAAGGCCAAATGGCTCACGAGTGCATGGATTCCCCCCACCCCAAAGGTGCAGCCCTTTACCCAACTTCCAAGGCCGAATATGGCCGCATAATTATTAATAAAAAAAATTCACACACACAAATACAGGAAGTACGTAAAGAAACATCTATTTCCCCCCCAAAGCTGGGAATCAAAACCAGCCTCTGTTTTATTGAGTGCCACGCCAATTACATGGATTTCCCACAAAATTTACTCCCAAGATGAAAGAGAACGCATGAGAAATAAGAAAAACCTGCCGTTTTTGGTATCAATCAAAACCTGTAAGGAAAATGGCTAATTTGTCATTTCACACTGACAAAAGGCATGAAACAGTAGGGCGTTAGGTGAGGTAAGGGCAACGGATGGAGAATTGGCGTCAAGAAGACAATGCTTGTGCAAAAACAGCCTGAAAAATCAGCAAACTAGGCTCTCCTCCGTCTCGCTTCTGATGCTACAAACCAGCTTCTATGAAACCAGGATTGTAACTTTGGCTGGCCTGTTTCATTTGTCTGCTTGAGAGTAACAACCTGCTGAAAATAAGGCGTCCTTTTGCAAAAACGTATCAATCATTTAAGCAGCAAAAAGTTAAAAATTAAAAAAAAAAAAGAGAATATTTTACAAAATTTTTGAAGCTGCCCATCTCTTTTGTGCGCATTATTTACACATGGACTTTGTTTTCATTTTATTTTAGTAAAAATATAAAACACAATTTCCGCCAATGCGCTAAGGCTTCTAACATACCGGGGAAAAGGCTGTTTTCCCACATCTTCTCAACAATGCTGCTCCCCTCCTTTTGCCGGTAGAGTTAATCGGTCTAGATTTCATGTGAAAGAAACACCTGAAAAGCAGCAAGAGAGTTAACGTGGTAAGGCAAGAGAGACGTGGAGAAGAGGGACAAAAAAATATCTTCCAAAGAAAATGGGTGTTGCCAGAAATTCTGCGCTGGCCACCCACTTGCCTCCTGGATATGAGAAGATAGAATAATAGGGTTGGATGGGACCTTGGAGGTCTTCTAGTCCAACCTTCTGCTCAATTGTCTTCCATCTGTTGGCAGTTCCAATCTGTGTCGGTGTATTCTTTCAACAGACAGTGGTCCAACCGGTTGCCACTCATGTCCACCTTCTTTCTATGAAGCTAAGATTACACTGGTTTGATATACGAAGGCATCCCTCTTCTTCCCTAATACAAAGCCTTTCTCACCTGTCCATTCCACCCAGGACATTTGTGGGTGGACCCAAAATGTGTCTGGATGAGGATCTATGGATGGCTGGAAGAAATCTCACAGTCTGACAGCCACACCTATTTTTTAGTTTCCTTGAACTTAATAGTTCAATCATCCCACAGGCCTTTTGTTCAACCTTGGGGAAGCAGCCCCTGGATCTCCTTCATCAAGGAACTTTGCAGAGCATTGTTTTATCTCAGTTCAGAACTGAGGAACATACAAATCCCAAAGGCTTCCCCCCATTAATGGTCTATTTGTCCAAAGATCTCAAGGACCTTGGTGATTATGTGCCACCAGGTCTCTTTGAGAAGCAACATTGCTGGAGAGAAGCCCACCACAACCACAGCAAAAGTACTCTCCATGGCACAACTGTCTCTTAAATAAGACCTAGGAGCTATGTGGATGAGGGCTGGTGATGCCTCCGGTTCCGTTTCTTCTTAATCTCTTGAACATGCTTCCATTTTGGACCGCCTTTGTTACGCTGCCGTTTCTTTTCCCGGTGCCACATCTGCTCACAGTACTCGTCCAGGCTGAAGCTGGGACTGCTAAGCAGCTGGAGATAATCTTTGTATCTCAGCCGGGACTCGGCTTGGAGATCTCGCGTCCGGCTCGGTTCTTCTTCCACTCTGTGACTGTTCTCCATCTGTCCGTTCTCGATGACGTTCAAGTTTAACTTCACGATGGTGTGGACAAAGGTGTGTTCCTGCGCCTTACAGTAATACGTCCCAGTGTCCTTCTTTTGCAAGCTACGGATTAGCAGCCCGTATTCTGTCTTGAAGACCCTTTCGTCGGGTTTCAACTGTTGGGCAGAAGAAGAAGAAAACACTATCAATTTTTATTTTATATTTTATAGAAAAGCAGTATATGTTATATGAACATTGGACCCAGAAAAAGGAAGAGATTTTTTCAACAAAATCTAACACATCACCTCTTTCTGAAGCTCTTTTCTACTCAGACTTAGTCCATATTGTTTTGTAGCTTCCATGTGTTATTTGTGATTACTCCACAAACAAAGTTTGTGATTATTATGATTCTGCAGCCTGTAAAGCTTTCCCTCATCTGTCCAGTTTCAAGTTCAAGTAAGATAGATATAAACATGACATGATCCTAAAAGAACATATCTGGGTGTTCCAATATGACTCCTGTGATACAAAGTCTGCACTTATTCTCATGCTAGATAGGGAAAGAAGCAGAATTCTCAGCTGCAAAATGAAAAAGAAAATGTAATTGCTAGATACCCATAAACTGTGGATATATAAAGTAGAGAAACAATCTTCATGGTATGTTCTTGGACTATAATAGAAAGTTATTCTGGAATACATGTTCCATGTAAACTCATATAAACTTTTTTAGATTCTTTATTTCTAGATATCCCATTTCATGCATGAATGCAATTGGCCATTGTGATATTCCAGATGTTTCTGAACCCATCATCCCTCATAATTGGCCAGGTGGATTATGGCTGCTCGGAGTTGTAGGCAAGCAACATCTGGAAGATGACAGTTTTTACACTCTTACATTTCCTAAGAACAGGAATGTAACAAGATGGTTAGCATGCCTAGAACTAAAAAGGATGGGTTGAAATTAGTCAAAAAATATCGATCAATGCAGGCCATGATGCTTGGAAGCAGTAATTCCAAAACAGATGGAGTATGGTTTTGATCTAAGAAGCTTGAAAAAAATAGATGGTAGAAAATTTAGATGGCAGAAAAATTAGATGGTGGAAAACTCTGCAGTGGTAGAACTGACAAAAACATCTATTTGATTCGGTGTATGGATGAAACTCCTAGGCCATGCCAAGAGTGCCTTTGTCCAGGGGTCCCAACAGGCCAGATCAAGGAAGTTTTCAAGGAAGACCCTGTTGGTGCCACGGAGTCGAGACAACAGAAATGCTTTCTAATAATAGTGATTCTTAGAAGGGGCAGTCTATGAAGGGAGGCAGTTACTTCCAACTTCCATAGTGGCAATTCTAGGCTTTTTGTGGTCGTTCTTTTGTTAAATGCACCATTTTAAAAGCATGCTCTGGATTTATATTCAAATATTGTACAGGTCAAAATGCATTTTTTTCTTTTCTCCTGAAGAAAAACCAACGGGGTTTTCTGAGCTACTCTGGGTGTGGGCTTGTGTGGACGCCATCGAGTGGGTTGCATTCTCCAATCTGTTAGCAACTGAGTCTACATGGCATTAAAGGGTAAACCGCAGCCATCTTGTACAGATCTTGCAATCAATGTAGTACAATAAACATTTCCTGATGTTGAAGCCAGTATTGGTTTTCAGGCATTTTTACATGCAATTAATAATTATAGGATCTATTACAAATAACAACTGTTTGCATTAGTCTTTCGCTGCTGATGAAAGGAACAATGGAGCCCTGCGGTCTAATATTATCGGACAGGTTCATTTGCACGACCCAGTTCCAATCTGCAGCTCTGATCCAGGTATCTGGAAACATAATGGATGGCGTCAATCATCCCTAGCAATTTATTCCACAGTGGCTAAATAAAAACCCACGAGAAGCCTCCTTCCTTCCTTCTAAGGCAAGGCCGTTTCATGGTGGCTCATCCCTTTATTGTACAATATGAATTCCACAGTTGCCTTTTGCCTTTTTGTTTATCTTCAACCTCTTTACCTTTCAGCTTTCCTGAGTGAGTCCAATTCCAGTTTTATAAGTGAGGAAGAAAATGATTTTCCTATTTTTTTCTCTGCACTGTGCCCATTTTTGGGGGGGGGGAGCAGAGGGTAACTTTTCCATGCTTATGGCTTCATGCCATTTTATTCCTTGTGCAACTCCCATAAAATATATGCATTTCCTCTTTGCCTATTCTGGATTGAATGAGAATACCCCCCCAAAAAATGTCTTCCTCTTTGCTCAGAAGATTTCTTTCAATGCACTGAAATGACTTTACTTTAATCACTTTACTTAAAAAAAACCAAAATAAAGATTAAGGATTTAAAATGGATATTTATTCTAACTGACAACTATTCCCATGGGACAAATAAGTGTTGTTGTTTTTCTTTCATTTGTGAAGTTGAGACAACTTTATACTTTAACTTAACAGTTGGTCCAACTGTTTCCCCCAATATAAGTTTAAATTTTCTCCTCCTCTGATGAGGGCAGATGGCAAGGGTACATTCCTTTTTCTGCACTGCCTCCATCCCAGGATGTGAGAGATTGCTAATGTGGTGAGAAATATCCTGTGGAAATACTTCTGGAGCTTCTGATATTCCAGAGCAACAGTTGAAGGAAGCCCCGTCCAGCAGTTCTTACATTTCTGAAAGTAATCTTGGAACTGGACCAGAAGCGATGTGGTGATCAGCCAAAAATATAGCTACAATGAATTCAAAATGGCTGCCCCCAAATTTCCCCTCAGTAGAGCAGAACAGATCTTAATATCTGATAATCTCATCTTGAGGACATGTTTGTGTTTTCCTTAAACGTTCCAACAGGTTGCTGCATGCAATCCGCCTCAGAAGATTCATAAGTCATTCTGGCCACTGGTCACTGCACATGAAAAGCTAAGAGTGAGGTATAGACTTGTCAGACAGGACCTCCTGATCTTTGGGATCTCCCATTGGGACTTCCTGGCTCACAATTCATGCATTCAGCCATTATATCCCAGGCAGGCTTTCTAAAGCATGTTTTCACTGAAGTAGAGATAAATCTGAAAGCATTCCCTGACATGACAAAGTCACATCATGTTCTTCTACTGCCACACTGAGGCCTACAGAATGAAAAGCAGAAATGGTGGAAGGCTGAGCTTGACCAAACAGCATGTAGCACGAATAGTGGGAAATCTCAGGAATATGCTAATCATACAAAATAAATTGTCGGGTTAAAATTTAACTTTCAAAAATTCCTGGTACTGTCTTTAGCAGAATAAGAAGAGGGTTCAGATGAGTAAAGCAGAAGTAAAAATGGAACGCTGCCCACTTGATTTGTGTGCCTTTCTAGCAAACTTCGGAAGGAATAGATTTACAAAGCAAGGAGGATGACTTAATTGAATGTATTCCCAGTGGGCAGATCGTATGCTGTTCCTTTACATGAAAAATATGTGGACAAAATTCCCTCTTTCCCTCATCATTCATTCATTCTCTCACACACACATTCCCTGAAAACTGAATAGCAAGACAGATGCATGAATCTGAATCACTGATTGCATCACAGATTTTAATATAGATGTTTTAAGAAAAGGAGATTATGACCGAATACCAAGCTAGACATAAGTAGCAAGGAAAACTTCAGGATTTTGATTTCTCCTGCTTCTCATTTGTAATACGCTTTTCTACCGTGAAGTCCAGATCTATAAAACTACCAACAAATGGCCATCAATATAATCCAATCATTTAGCAAATTTGCAGAAATGAGGAGGCCCTTTTGGTGGTGACAAAGGAACTTTGAAGTTGGAACTGGAGATTTAGAAATACCTGCCATGGTCCTATTTCCTTTCCTATTCCCCCAATGAATGAGTTGCAGAAGGGTTTTGGTTCAGATTGCCATTATATTGCTAAGGATATTTTAATAAACTCTATTATTTTGTATTAATTATGTTTACGATGGATAACCATTTGTCTGAAGTGGTGGAGGGTTTCCTGCCTAAGCAGGGGGTTGGACTAGAAGACCTCCAAGGTCCCTTCCAACTCTGTTATTCTATTCTATTCTAATTATGGTTTTCTTTTCTTTTTTTTTTTTTTGACTTTTTTATGTTACTCAAAGTCACTTAGTTGGTGAGTTGGGAAGCCATATAAATACATCAACTTTAAAATAAAATAAAATAAAATAAATGGAATATTATAATTTTATGATAATTCCGTTGCATTTTAAATTTTGTTGCTTCTGGGAAAAAATGAATGACAGCTAGCCTTGGGCCATAATGAAAAGTTATTCTAGAATAAATCTCTGTATTATCAATTAGATAAACCACTTTAAAATAACCAGCTTATTTAAAATCGTGACTTCTTTTAAATTAAGGAGTCACACCTATTGCAGATATCTTGCTGGAGAAGTTCTATATTTTCCCTCCCACAGTAAGGATGATTTTATTGTTCATTATGACACAGGCATCCATTCTCTTCCAGAGAACATTTTCCCTTTTCAGCCCAATCATTCCATTCAAAGAAAGAAAACACGCCGCTGTGTTGTTATTGATTAACAGTCCTACAATTATTTGACCAAAACATATTTGACTGACAACTGCAAAGAAAAAACCATGAATGTCAAGATTAAGTAGAACTGCAGTGTTATCTCAGCCAATATTTGCAAGTACTTAGCTAAGAAAAACAGATTCAGAGATAGGATGTGGAAGGGGAAGCTCTAAAGAAGGATCTGGAGGAGAATGTCTTCTTTAAATCTGGAGCGGGGAGGCATTTGCTAAGGACCTGTAGGCTGGAAAGTGAGAAACAGCTGACACAAGGACAGAGACCATTATCCATTGAACTTTGGATTCTTTTTTCTGCATGAATTAGGTTCACTTAATAATTAGGTCCTACAGGTTGCTCCAAGCAGATTCTTCTGAATGGCTAACATTCTAATTGGCTGGTACTTTTAAGGGTTGATCTTCTGCCTTTGACCATCATTCAGTCCTGATCCTTCTTAGATCAGTATAAAAGCTCTTTTTAGACCCAGTCTAGGGGTAGATCTCCAAGTATCCATTTCAGGGATTTTGCGCAAGTAACCACGCCAATTGAAAAGTTTGATTTTGGCTTTCATCAAATTATCTCTGAACTGAATCTCCTGATTGAACTCTTGCACACTTTACATGAAAGCAAAACAGGCCAGATGAAGGTAGTAAAAATGGCTTGTTCACTGTGATTATCTCGAGCTCCGACTTCTGATTCTCTCTCGTTCTAAAATACTAATACTTTCCAGATGGACTGAGCTTCTTATCATTAATTTTCTTTTGCAGCATTAGCTGGGAATTGTGAGAATTGAGATTCATTCTGAGATAACAAGATGGTCTGTTTATCATTGTAGTGATTTTTTTTTTTTACTCCAGCACTTATTTTTCTCGTCACTGTGATAGGAATATTTCTAACTGGTAAAGCAAATACCATATTGATACAGATTATTGTATTCTGTGTTCCTTATAAGGAAACTATGAGTTGTATTCAAATTTGAGGTTTTCAGAAATACATGTCGAGAATAGAAGGGAACCTGGATTTAGTGCCTGACTATCATCTTATCATCTTCAATGACACGAAAAAAATGACGCCTCTACCTCTCTCACACTTTGAAGAGCAGTTCAATATTTTTGTCTTCTTTACTTCCTTTGGCATTTTTGTTTGCCCATAAATTTAGAATTCTTCCTTCCCTGTCCTCAGGCCTCTGGAGTTTCATAAACAGCAGGCATTTCATTTCTTGCTACCAGGTCTTCAATCTTTCATTCAGATGCTTAATTTATAACAGGTTTGGTGGATATAATAGATATACTAAAAAAAACTTTGATTAAATTCCAAACAGTGAAAAAAAAAAACACCAAGGCACACAAAGCAACTCTACAAGATGTAGATTAAACAAACATTGTGGCTGGTAGATCAGATTCAGACATAACTAGGACTGTGCAAACTTTTGAGGAGATGCAGCCTTAACAAAAGCCGTTGCTCTCACCCAAAACCTTCACCGTTAGTGAAGTAAAGCAGAGGTATTACTAACACCTCCCACAGTTCTAACAACGGCAAGAGGTCCTGTCTATGCCAAGAAATCTCTGCCAGTCTTCTGTCCGGCCAAAAGAAGCAGATGTTCAAAGCCTCTTCCAGGGGCAGAAATTCCTGGGGAAGGCTTTGAGCAATCTAATCTTCAGTCAAACTGTGCTGCGTCTTCCGTCTTTAGGCGAGAATTGCATCATTTCTGTGCATACAACGTCTCTCCAAAGCAAAGCCAAACCACTTTGTGCTGGCCCAGAAAAAGAAAGAGGACTGCAGGAGGACATTCACTTAGGAGTATCTTTATTTCATCGAGTTGTGGACTATTTTGAAGTCTGTATAATCTATGCCTAACGAATGCAGTGGTTTTGTTGAACTTGGCTCTTAAAAAGTGAACATTTAAAGCATGCTCAGGCCTGAATTTATTTATTTATTTTATTAAATTTCAGTTCTACACATGAGCCAATGTGGTAGCATGGTTAGTGTTGGATGAAGATGGGGCCGACCTAGGTCGAGGCCACCCTTAGCTATGGAAACTCACTTGGGAAACTCAGCCCAGACACTTTAAGGTACCAGACTTATGACTGAGGACAATCTTCAGAAATTATGAAGGCGAAGATGCCCATGTTTAAAATTAGAATTCTCCCCATGCAGCTGCAAGAGAAATTATCTTTTACAAAACAGAAGATCTGGGAATGAAAGTATTTTGGGTGGAGGTCACGAGAATCACGATGGAAAAGTGTCAATTGTAACAGTGATGTATCAGCTTCCTACCAATTACAGAATCCTTGGGGAATATTCCACGGAGACAAGATAATGCATTAAATAACTCCCACCATTTCTGCTGAAATAGTCTTAACTCAAACTGAAAAATGCCAGACATTTTCAGTGAGACTTAATTATAGCTATCTGCATGTGAAACAAGCTGCAGATGTCTCTCACACACTCTTACATACAGGACTGAATCCACTTCTAACTAAAACTTGATCCCACCAAAACCAATGGGGAAAAGTCAGCCATGATCTGGGGTCTCCCATTCTGGGGATGGAGTCCCATCAATAAATCAGCTCTAAAAAAAAATCCCATTTCCTGGCCTCATCCCAACCCTCTGCTTTGGCCACAGTGATATTTTGATGTTTCATCTAGGTGGCCCTTGATGAATGGAGGATAACATCGTGTCTTCTTGCCTTGAGAAATGCCCTGTGGTCTATACTGGTGCTGACACAAGCTGATCATCTCTTGACTTTAAATGCCACTGACGTCAATCAATCATCTTCAATTTCTTCATCTTCATATCAATGACATAAGGAATCTTGTATTTTCCGAGCTTGGACTCGTGTTAATGACTGGGATATCCATTTAGAGCCATTCCGTCTTTCAATACAAATCAAAGCATTATTCAAGGGGATTGGATATTAGGGAGAAAGTATTAAGAGAGTATTTAAAAAAGACAGAAAGCAGCAGATTAAAAGTGCACTAAGGGCTGCTGGCAACTTCACTTGCCTTTGCGAATTGTTTATTTAGAAAGGACTTCGGTCTTTCTACTCCCAGAACCTGGAATCTCCATATTAACTCCATTCTCTTATCTATTTTGAGGTAAAAGGCTAAAAAGGTTACATTATGTGGAAATGTCAAAACAGGATATACACGTTTCCCTTTTATTTTATTTTCTGAATTTCATAAACTGATGAAGAAGTGAGCCAGAATGAAATTATATATAAATATTTGCCCTAAGTCAAAATAACCCAAACAATAGATAAATATTTCCTTTCCTAATGATAATATAAATAGATAACATTTGTACAGCAACTTATGTAACTTAAAACATTGTTGGTTTAGGACTCAACACAGCAAAATTTCCATACCCAATCTCAAATCTCATGGGGTAACTTCTGATAACCTCAGCCTATTTTAACCATTGAGGGAGGGGGAAATACAGAAATAATACTTATGCCACTCTGTGTTCCTTGGAGGAAAAGAGAAAATAGAATCTCAGTAAGTAATGGAATGTAGTTTAGTATTATTATTAGTCCCACATTTTAAATGAAATATAGAAAGATTTAGAAATGGGGAGCTGCCAAAGGCTGCCTGGGGAGTTCCTGGCAAAAATGATACCTGAATAAGGAAGTCCTTAATTCATAGCCTGAGCTTCCAAACCATTAAGAGACCTTCCTTATTCTTCACATGAAATCTTAACTGATTACTTAGGAAACCACCCGGTGGGGAAAAAGTCATCAGAGAAGAGTAAGGAAAAACAAGAATACACAAGTTGCCATTTTAGGTGTAGGACCCATTCAATTTCTATGAAAGTATACTTTTTATTTTACTAATAAAATTTATACGGCCGCCCATCTCATGGGAAGTGGTTCTGGGCAGGATATCACAATCCAACAAAACAATAAATACAAAACAATGGTTTTATATTTATGGCAATCTTGGGGAAAATTGGACTTGGGGTTGTAACTTAATGTAATTAAATTAAGTAACTTAATGTAACTTAAACTGCATCTAATATTTCTTTAAAGTGGCAAACAGCCTTTACCAAGAAGTGGGCAGAAGTTGGTTCTCATGCTTACGTGCCTTTGTATTTCACTGCAGAAAAAAACTTTATGATGATGACTAAATCATTGGATGAGGGTCCTAGGTGTCTCAGCTGATTCCAGCTTCATGGGCGAATGATGTAAGGATGATACCCTAATTCCTTTCTCCTTCCTCTCCTCCGGGACTCTAGTACAAGCAGGAGAACAGCCTCAAAACCAAGAGACAAAACTGCTCTTTGGCTTGAGCATCCCTGAAATAAAAGTGATTCCTTCTCACTGCAGGGAGATGTCCTACACACACTCACACACACACACACAGAGAGAGAGAGAGAGAGAGAGAGAGAGAGAGAGAGAGAGAGAGAGAGAGAGAGAGAGAGATATGACCGAATGACATGGTGAAAGCGACCGGATCACCAGAAATCCTGTTTACTTCCACGCCCAGCTCTGCCTGGAAATGACCCTCCAAAATCTGACCTTTTGGGTGAAGGGGAGGTAAGACCCTGCAGAGCCAAAGGGCCGATCTGGAAGCTGCCCTCTCCTTCCTCTTAGGAAAGCAGATTTTGCACCCTGATGAGACACACTGAGGCCTCTATTTCTGGAGGGAGGCACGGAAGGCCTGGGAAAATGTTTCTGCACTGGAATTCCAGGAACAACTTGTCACTTGCTAAATGTGATTCACCTGGAGTTACCCAAAAGTGCTGGGATCGGGACTGGGAGTAAGAAGCAAATGGAAAAGCTACAATCCCTACTCTTTTGGAGGAAAGGGAAAAGTTGAAAAGAGACACAGAGAAAACTTTAATAAAATAAAAGAGGTTTGGCTGTGGCCAACTTATTTCTGACCAAATATGCAGCATCTATCTATTTCTATAATACAGTACATCCATAGATTGTCTGTCTGTCTGTCTGTCTGTCTGTCTGTCTGTCTGTCTGTCTGTCTATCTATCCATCTATCCACCCACCCACCCATTCATCTATTATCTATCCATCCATGATCCATCCATCCACCCATCCATTCTTCCATCCATCCATCTCTCTCTCTCTCTCTCTACCAGTGATGGGTTGCCCCCGGTTTGGACCAGTTCAATAGAACCGGTAGTAAAACTGGAGGGAGGCTCCGCCCACTGCCCCGACATCATCAGAACGCTTCTGCGCATGCACGCGGCCCCGTTGCAAACCGATAGTAAAGGTAAGTAGAACCCACCCCTGATCTCTCCCTATCTATCTATTTCATGAGCTCAATCAGTTATGCTGAATCTAATATTGACAAATTCTATCAGCCCCAGTTTTTTGACCAATGAATATGCAGTTTTCGCTTGAGGGAAAGCCAGCCTCACCTCTTCTCGGTGCTCTTCTCCAGAACGCTGAACAAACCACCTGATGGAAGCTTGCTGTGACTTTGGGACACATTCCAGAAACGTTGAGTTAAATTCAATGCCGAAAATCACCTTTTCGTCCCCGGTTTCAAGACTAAGGCCTGAAAAGCAAGCACAGGAGAGGGGATTAACCCTGCCCTGATGTCTTTAAGAACGGGGAAACACGACTGATGTGGAGCAGATGGCAGAACAGCACATAAGCTGTTAAATAAAGCAAACGGTGTGGAATGGCACGCAAACGTTCGAATTAATGTAAGCCATTTCTAACAATGCCCTTCTTCTCTGACTTAGTCACTTCCTGTCGTCTCCCTCACTGGGAAAGAAGAATTCGATCGATATTCTTTTGTTCGGAAATTGCCTTCAATGAGGCTTAAGACAAGGACGTCAAAGTGGCCCTTCCAAGTCTTTAATTCATTCTTCCTGGAATAACCTATGAACCGGAACCCAATTATTATTTCATTATTATATTTTCCAGTTCATGGAATGCACGTCACCATGATGACCCCCATACAAAAAATAAATACATTAACCAAAAAGTGTTCTGGGAAAGAAGAACACACGAGAGAGAGAAAAATATGAATTTGTGGAAAGACCTTTTGGGCTACAGAGTAACCTTTAATCGCTTGGATCTCCAGAGCATTCAGAAGTACTGGAATAATTCTGCTATGAAGGTATCTACATGAATATTTTCAAGGACAGGATAGAAACAATGGACACAATGAACGACACTTTTGTGGTTATGGGGAAAATAAAGCGAAGTTGGGTGCAACAGGAAACTTAAAAAAAATATCGTCCTGTATTTGCTGCTAGAGACAGGCTCACATGCTGGCAATTCAATTCTTTCCAAGATTTATTTTGTGTCATCTCCATCAGCCTACATCCTTGCCTCGTTGCAAGACAAATAAAATCTGTTCCTTCCGGAAATTTTCTTTTGACGTCTTCGCTGGGACATCTCTTCTCCCCACAGAACAAAAGCAGAGGAACTCTCGTTTTCATTAATGCTGACCGCACTCAAGCCCTGCACTTGGCTTTGGAATCGCACACACAACAGGATTAATATGAAAACAACTGTGCGGTAATTGAAACCCTGAATTAGATCCTCATTTCTTTTAAGGAAAAAAATACTGTTTTGCTTCAGTGGTTTCACCCTCCCCCCCAACTCCTCTAAAAAAGGAAAATAAATATTCTGAACTGAACATTTTACATTTTATGTTCTGTTGTTACAGAAATCTCAGCCTAACCACAAGGCTGACTCTAGATAATGCTTCTTGCCAGACCTGTTGCCAGGGAGCCAGCTAGTCTGGCAGGAGCATCAACAGCTACATTTGTGGGAGACAGTAAGCTCTTGTTGAAAAGGAGATGGCTTAATTAGCAGGGAAGAATTAGAAGGAATCCTGGATTGCTTGCTAATTGGAGCGAGTATTTCAGAATTTGGTCCAAGAGTCGCTGTGCAAAAATAAGTAAGAAAATGTAAGAAGAGTATTTGATGATTTTGCTTCAGGAAACTCTCCTCATTTGGCTCCCTCACTGCAAGTCTTCCCACATTCTTGTAGACACAATATTTTTCCATTTGAGTTCCAGAAGGACTTTTTTCATCTCTTGATGGCTGCTGCTGATAGCTAAAGAGTAAGTTCCAGTATTCAGAAAGAATAACAATACGCCAGCCACCTTTGGTTATGGAATATTGGCACCGATTTGTACACTTAAGCTTATGCACTAGAGACAAATTCCTTGTGCGTCCGATTACATTTGGCCCATAAAGAGTTTCTGCTCTGCTCTACTCTACCCTGAGCTAAATACCCCTTTATTCTACTCTATCCTATGGAATGGGCAACCTCATTCCATAGAGGTTGCTCTATTCATCACAGAATAACAAGAGTCAAGAATACAATTCTCAGCATCTAAAACAGACCAAGGCAGAAAGGAGCACCATGAGTTTTTCAAACAAAACAACCAAAAACCAGCCATCACTTTTGGTTGGGTTAAGGTTGCCAGCTTCTCAACTGAAATGAGAAGAACCCAATACTTACTGTCTTCAACGTCCCAGCACTGGGTAATGGGGTCTCCGTATTTCACATCTTGCCTCCTTGCACGCCTAGAAAAGGAACAAATACATTGCTTATGAACGAATTGTTGCCCAAATGGCAATTTAAGATGGAATTCTCATGTTCTTGGTTGCCAAGGCTGGTAGGTACATTATATTTCAGGAAGACAATTCATGGACTGAACCAAAGTAGGGAGATTCATTGGCCATGCATGTTGGGGACAGGAATACGATGCAAATAATGAGGCTGAAGAAGATTACAAAGTGCTTGGTACTTTAAGAAGATCTTTAAACTTGTCCCTGTTGCAACTTTCTTGACTCTTCAACTCCAGGACTGCTTTCAAGCAAAGAAAGAATTGCCAAGATATCTTGCCATGAAACCTGAGATTACATCAAATGAGTGATCAAAAACTATCCTTTCTGTCTAATTGCTAAGGTTTCTGAGATACTTTCTTCTAAATGTGAATAGGAAACTATGGACCCTGTAGAGAACTTAGTAGAGAAAATGATAGTAGACATCAATGGAGAAAGAGGGAAGGAGGAGCCTAATATGCTCCTTGGGATATGTGCCTCATCATGACCATGGTTCAAGGAAGAAGCTACCGTTGACAGCTCAGAAGGGCAGATGCCTTACCTTTTGGAAGTTGGGGTGTATCTGGAGCAGGAATTTCCATCCCAAGCACAATACGGGTCTCTGGCAAGGCAGCAATCAGCACACGCCTTCCCATATGTGTGGCATCTGTGCAAGGAAAGCTGAGCCAGCCCATCTCTGGAACCAATGTACAATTGTTGCTACAAATCAGACAAGGCAAACAAATGAGAAACAACTTCACGTTGATTTATAGCATTAAAATACTTTTTTAAAAAATCTGCTATTGTAGAAATATGTCCACCAATATTAGGGTTTATAGAGCATGGAACAGACCATTCTCTTTCCACATAGTTAAATCAATTTGCTTTAACTAGGTTCATTGGCTCACAATACACAATATTTTCTGCAACCATGTTGTTATAAAGATAAGCAGAAAACCCTGGTATTTTTCCCCCCTGAGACTTTCAAGTCTTTCTTTTGCTGCAGTTCACCTGTTTAACATCATGGCATCACTTCCAATTATTTAGATTTGGCCTCAAGTCCGCTTTGAAAATCCAAGGGCAATAACAGTAAAAAAAATACAACACTGGCAGAAATCTACAGGAGCCATATGCAGAGAAACAAACTGATTAAGTAGCAAAGCCCAGACCACTTTATCTTCTAATTAATGAACACAAGTTTCCAAAAGGGTTGAGATTTTCATGGCTCTTTAAGTCTTGAAATTGAAGGTGTATGGACTTCCTCAGCATGCTGGCTGGGGAATTCTGGGAGTTGAAGTCCATCCATCTAAAAGTTAAGAAACCCTGCTTTAAATATCTTTGAAGATGAGGTTTGAATGCACAGGGTTGGATTTGCATAACACAATTACTGATAATGATGTATCAGTGTGACAAATAGGTTCTGCATAAAAGCTGTCATCAAGGAAGAATCAAAGTAATATGTATGCCGCATCTTCTTTATTTGTTCCCTCTTTTACTGTTCTTCTGTCAATATGCAATGAATGTAGAGTGTTCATGTGGAATGTGGAAATGGATTTCAAATCAAAAGGAGTAATTTTGACAGGAAGGACCGGAAAGGGTAAGATTAGGGGGAAAAAACTTGGAGCAAATATTAAATCATAAAATATTAAGACGTGGGCTTTAAAAAAGCCACTTATCAAGGGCTAAAATTACTACTTGTGAATTACCTGCTTTGGAGACATTTCCATGGTCAAGATAGGTGATGGATGCTGCAAAGCAAATGAACAAACAAAAGTGAAGGCAGGGTCAACATTGCTTGCCTTTATCTGGAGGAAAAGATGTTATCAGGGAGTGATATATTTCTCACATGATATCACCCCAAAACACCAAGTTGTATCAAAGCCTTTTTGAGAAATCAATTATCTTCAGGTCTAACTTGGAATATCAGAATGGAATTCCGGGCTTATATAATCCTGTAAACGAAGGTTATTTGATGGGGAAAACACCCCAGGGCAGTTTTGAGTTTTTGAAGTTGCTTCCTGGATTTGAGTTTTCCATAACTAAGAACTCTTCCTGGGAGACTTCAGGAAGAACGTATTAATTGCTTCCATTCGAATTGATCAATCTTTGGGTGGTCAAATAAATCTTTTGCCTGAAGCAAGCAATGTGGGCTACAATATTCCTTGAGTGAGGAAATCCCTCTCCTCTGTCAATCACGTGTTCTTGGAAATACCTACATCAAATTAAATAACCCTCAGACGGGTTAATAAAAATATACAGAACCTACAGTGATTTTCCCCTTCTATTTTTTTTCTGTAAGAAAAAAGAAGAAGAAGAAAAGAAACGAAGTACATCAAGTAGAAGGACATCTGCTGAGCTAATAGCTCTTTTTGGTATTAAATCCGATACTACAAATATGCAACAAATTGGTACATGCTTAATAATTCCAGATTACTTGGCAGCTGACTGGCGAGTCTTGATATTTTCAACGTGATATAGTTATAATTGGTCTCTGTGGCAGCCAAAAGATGATCTAGGGAGGAGGCTTAAAAACAAGAATCATCACATCTACTTAACATCATAAAAAAAGCATACGGGGAGATTAATTTCTTTTTTTAAAAAAAGTTTTTTCCCTGTGAAATGATTATTTTGCAATAATAGCTCATCGTATCTGAACAGCCTGAAGGTGTCCATGAAGGGAACAAGGGAGCTTGCCTGGAAGAAGATTTCATTCTGAGGGGTGGTACTACTAATGCGTGTGACCATATCACAAAAAATCTTATTACATCATTGTTATTGGCAGGAGAGCTGCTTAACTGGCAGCCTCAGGATTTGGAACAGGGACACAGCAGCATAGCAAGTGAGTTTGCTAAGATGACCAGAATGATTTTCCTTCCCTTGAAGTGATTGCAGACTTTTACTCCACCAGGATTGAGCTCAAATTTCACTCTTCCTGCTTTTTCTCCCTCTTAGTACATAAAAAAAGGCATGCTATTTATGTTGCTGTTACTGAAATCTTTATAAGATATAAATATATCTTAGCTGCCCAGAGTCATTGGACAGCAAATAAATTTCATAATAAAATAAAAAGCAAATACCTTACTAATTATTCCCTTAGTGTAAAAAGATAAGTTTGCTTTTTGGAGACTTACCTTGAATACTTGTAGTTCTTCCAGGATCACCTCTTCCATGTCCCATTTTTCTTTGGTGATGCTCAAAACTTTCAGCACAGTTCCAGCATCTGAAATCGAAAACATTCAGCTGAAAAAAAAATCTATCACGAAGTTTCCCCACTCTGGAAACTCTTCTTTCGTCAACACTTTCCTGTAAACAGAAGCCTTGTACCTCCAGTCTTCTCCCCGTACTTTTTAGCTAAATCCACACCATATAAATGTCTCTTTTTATTTCTTCTGTGATCACTAGTTGCTGCTGCTGTTGAATACCAAGAGAGAACATGTTATGAGGCCAAGGGATAAAGCTAATTTGTTGCTTGTGTACGGCCACAGCCTACAGGGGTGGGTCCTCTCAAGAGAAGAGAGGAAGAGCCTCAGCCAAGGGAAAGGTGGTTGGTCTTGGGTTCAGAGACAGGATTATTTGTATTGGTTGTTGTGAGCTGCCTAATAAGACCAGGTGAGATAGGCGACCATATACCGTATTTTTCGGAGTATAAGATGCTCTGGACTATAAGACGCATCTACCTTTTTTGGTAAGGAAAACAAGAAAAAGAAATCTGCTTCTGCCTCCTGGCAATTTTGCCTTCTTGCAGCAAACAGCAAACAGCCTGTTTTACTTTCATTTTCATTTTCAGCATAGCTTGATTAGCACAAGAAAAAAAAAATCTGCTCCCAGCAATTTACCTCCTTGCAGCAAGCAGCAGAGGCCCTTGCAGCAATAGGCAAAGGCAATCCCTGCAGCCTGAAACAGCAGAGAGTAGGGAGGCCGATCCAAGGACAATCAACTTGTGTTAATTAGGCTGTGCTGAAGCTGAAATGGGCTGTTTCTTCTTGCTCCTTGCTGCAAGGAGGTAAATTGCTGGGAGGCAGAGGCCAAAGGGTGGGGGCCAGCGGGTGGGCGGGGCTACATTAAATGTATAAGACGCACCCAAATTTTCATTTTAGGGGGAAAAAAGGTGCATCTTATACTCTGAAAAATATGGTATATTATTTAAATAAATAAGGTATAAGAGATTTTAATCATGGCTGTACTCTAAACAAGTCACAGGCGGTGTCTTTGGCCTTGTGCTTCTAGGAGCAATGCCGAAGCACAAGGCCGAAGACACCAGCCTGAAGATAATGAATGAGACTTTGTTGAAACGTCGCCAAGGTACTTCCAATTTTACGCGGGAGAAAACCCGAATAAGTCGTAGGTTTTTGTGTGTATATTTTTCTTCAACCGGGTATTTCCTATGTAAACCAAGTTTCTCAATTTGCAGCCATAGCTCAGTGGATGTGATTTCACTGAGCTATGGCTGCAAGTTGAGAAACTTGGTTTACGTAGGAAATACCCGGTTGAAGAAAAATATACATACATACATACATACATACATACATACATACATACATACATCTGTCTGTCTGTCTGTTATCAGTTGAATTAGCTCTCAGCAACTCCTTTGACGTAATGTTGTGTGGGAAGGATCTTAAGAAGGGAGAGGAAGAGATGCTGCCTAGGGAAGGATCAGAGAAAATGCCGAGGAGCTCACAGCTGCTTAACAGACAAAGAAAGAAAGTTAGGAAGGACCCGGCCTAACATATCAGACTATTAAAAGTGACGGTGGGAGACTTGTATTCTCAGACTTGCAAGATTCTGATAATAAAGCCTGACAATAAGGTAGAATTAGATCATCTGGTGATGTTTCCTGTCTGGTTTAACTGGGAGGGCTGACATTTTATTACCGTTCTATTCTCCTATACATGGAAGAAATTAATAAATGATCACATATACTCCCCTAAAATGTTATATAAGGTTGTGTACTAAGCAAACTTTTCATGTGCCGCCTTCAGAGCTCATGCAGTTTTCTGCCACGGACAAGGCCTTTGAGCATGGACTCAGCACTAGAAACTTTTCCTGATCATTCAAAAAAAGAAAAGAAAAGAAAATCAGTCTGGTTCCCATGTATCCCAAAAGCCCTCCAGGTACATTGTCAGTGGATTATGCAAATAAGCAGCATGCAACAATGCCAATTCCCCTGCAATGAATTGTGAATTATTTCCTACATTTTCCCCTGGCCTGCATTGTGTGCGTGTGGAACTTTTCATATGGCAGTGATTGAACAAACAAAAGATCCTGAAATGAAATGACTGAGGACCAAAGTTGAAGGAAAGAAGCATCTTTGAACTTAACGGCAGACGTTGCTTCAAGTTTCTCCTTTGATTAAACTGACTGCCCCATATGCTAATTTCACTAAATTTAAACCTCATGATGAAGGTAATTATACCGTTAGTATTAATCTTTGTTAAGAGAAGAATGATTGAGAGATAAATAGTTTCCAGTAAACTGACCACATTCAATTTCCTACTTTGGTCAAATTCTTTCCAATGTGCTAAAATTTCGTGCAGTATCGCTTAATCTGAAGGAAAGGAGGACGACTCTTGTATGAGTAAACCAAATTCTGAAGGTTGAAAAAATAAGCTGAGTCTCATCTATTCACCACATTTTCGAGGCGAAGGGGGTGTCTGGTTACGTGCCGTCTGAGGAGGACTGAAGAGGAGCTCTTGAAACATGGCATAACTGGGAGAAATGTGGAAAGATTGGCTATCCTCAGGTCCCAAATGTAAATTGAGGGTTACCTCTACAATGTGGCTCTGAAATCAAGCATGGTGTAGTGGCACTGCAAAAGACCACTGTATTTAGAGGAGCGTAGTGACATCTCTTGACTTCTCCTTCATATCACGAAGATTCTAGAAGTGTAGAGTTCATTCTGAGTTATGATCGTGTTTAACTTGCTTGTCCCAAAGGTGCTTTTTTTTCCAGGAGGCAACTGGACTCTCTGGTTTTTCTCTGAAGACGTTTTGCTTCTCATCCAAGAAGCTTTTTCAGCTCTTGAGCTGAGCTTTTTCAGAGCTGAAGAAGCTTCTTGGATGAGAAGCAAAACATCTTCAAGAAAGTCTAGTTGCCTCTTGAAAAAGCACCTTTGGGACAACCAGGACCTGGATGGCTGAGAAGCTCCATAGATGTTTAACTTGCTTGCTTTTTTGATGCATGAAGAAAAGGAAGGAATCTTCACATAGCTCTAAGAGGTCTTCAGGATCATTTGGGTTGACATGTTTCCCAGGGTCTCATTTACATCTCAGGCTTCTGTGAGTTTGGGTGAGAAACAGATGCACCATCTAGCCAAGTTCAGGTCTTGGTGCCATAGAAACCAGTTGTGGTCCCGGCTTTTGCTAAGACCCTGGTGTTGCCCGTTGAGCTGCAAGCTTCAACCAAGACCCAGCCTTGGGTACTGTGTGACTTGGCTGTTTTGGGGTCTCTCCGTTGTTATTCCACTGGGCCTGCCAAAATCCTCATCTCACATCCAGCTTTTATGTTCTGTTTAAATCTGTCTGCTAAAATTAATAATGTGTTATTAACATGGAATATGTTAACATGGAAGAGCTCGGCCACCTCCTTCTCCTAAAATGTCTTTTAGGCTTTCCAGTCTCGGAATTTCCTCAAGGAAAAGCAGCCCGAGTGCTAACCACCTCTCAACTTGGATAGTTTTCTCTGAAATTAACCCTGATTAGCTGAGCGCTGTCATTAGAGTGAATGTGATCCGGATTGGCACACAGCTCCTCCGCTGAACTCTCCTGTTCACAAATTACAAAATCTACCTGGCTTTTCCAAGTTCTCAAATGACTCCGGCCACCCAGACTGAACACCGAATTTCTTTTTTTGGTCCCCCGAAGAAGGTTTCTTTTTCACTAGGCAGCCAATGAGCGTGAGTGTGTCCCCTGTGCTTGAGGAATGCCAGGGAAAACTTCCTAAAAGCCAGCAGAGTTTATGCTTCCACCCGGCCATTGGTCAGAGATACCACACCTTCGACTCCTGCCCAGAGCAGAGGGTGGCCGGACGTGTCAATGGCCTTCTCCGGCTTTAGCATTATATGACTCTCTCAGCCCCCCCCCTCAACCCCAGCTCCTGCCTCCCATTTCTTCCCTTCCCTGATTGTCTGACAACATCTACAAAATGTTCCCAGATTGGAAGAGATATTCATAACCGCTCACCTGTGATTTGCAATTGGCAGATAAACATTAAAGGGTATCTACTACTTCTTGAAAAAAACATATTTTTTGTGCCCATTGAGAATCTGGAAATGGATGAGAAATAAGCATCCAGTTCAAGGTTCTGATTAGCTTTTGGGGAAAATAAGTTTTTGTAAACATTATACAATTTGAATTACTAGATACAGTAACTTACAATTGATCTTCAGAATCCTCTACTTTCTCTGCCTGTTTCTAATATTTCTGTTTATCTATTAAGTTCTTATGTTTGGAGGCTTTTATTTGTCTAACAAAGAATTCAGAGTCAAATTTTCATGGCAATTTGGTGGGCGAGATTAGGCTAAAAATGGGCTCTGTGTATTCACTTTGCAAGCTTATTAATTGAGCGCTTGTTTCAGCTTTCTTTCAAAACCAACCACAAAAAACACGTTGTTCAGTCTTTCATGCTATTATGTTTAATTGCTGAGAAAACTGCCATTAGGCTGATTTAGTATGGAGCAAGTTTCTAGTTTCTTAACATGTCAGAAGAATCTTATTTTTTCATAGTCTAGATGAGTCTTCTCTGCTGAAATTCTGGACTGCCACCTACTGGCTCTTTTAAACCTGCAGGCATCTACTATAGTGAAGAGCAAAGCTGAATAACTAGAGCCAATTTAAATAGGCCTGACATTTTCCTTTGAGAAGAAATCCTGTAAGGATACTTTGCATTCCAGTGGAAGAGTGATATAAAAAATAAAACGTTGGTAAACTAGGGTCAACAAAGCTGCTTCATGTGAATCTTCCATTATATCGGAGGAGGGAAAAAACCTAGTCAGACCAGCTTATCACTTTGCAAGTTAAAAAACTAGAAGAAGCCTAACTCTCTGTGCAGTATGGAAATGCAACCTTTTGCAGTCTGCTCAGGGGCCTTTCTGGAGCGGAGAAGTAAAAATAAACCAATAAGCAAACAAGAGTGACCATCTGCTTCCATGGAGTTACAAAAACCCCTCCGTGAATATATATATATATATATATACTATGTTCTCATCAGGACCAGAATTGGATTGTACCTTTAGGTATTGAATGCTGCAACTGCTCTGCTCTAGTTATCGCATCGCTTGTTATTAAGCGATGTATCATTGGGGTAGATTGTAGGACTGACACCGAAATATAGTTTTATCATATTTTATCTATATCTTAAATTATTGTATTATATTCCATTTTCATCTTAGATTGTATTTTATTCCAATTTCATTTTAAATCGTATTTTATTCCAATTTCAGTAATAATTTGTTTCTGGAATTCTGCACTTTGATATGGTCCAAGGGCTAATCAATCAATCAATCAATCAATCCAAAAGTGATATCTCGTCTCCTTGTGTTTCAGGGCCCAGTCGATCCCAAGCAATCCTTTGGGGAAATTAGATATAAAGCTGCTTTTTAATGATTTGGAAATCACACGGGTCTCTTTGTCTGTGACTTACCTGTCCCTAGAAACAGGACGTCATACTGTCCGTCTTCGGCCGTGACTCGATCCACCACGATCTGGGTCAGCCGGTGGTCCACGTTGACCTGGGTGAAGACCGGAGCCCGGCCCACCGGCTGGACCGCTCTGTGCATCAAGGGGTGGCGCTTGATGAAACTGATGACGTCATCGGGGAAATCCCGGGTGGTCTTGACCGTGGGGTCGTAGGTTCGGCTCGGACACTGGCAGAGATGGGAGAGAAGAGGCAGCCGCATTTAGCCTGGGGAGGTGTGTGGCCCCAGTTGGCCAGAAGGAGTGAAGGGAAGAGGTTCAGATATTGTCATCAATGCTGATTTGCTCCAGGATGACAAGTAGTCCTTGGACTTACAACAGTACATTTAGCGACCTTTCAACGTCACTAAAAAAAATGACCTATGACCCTTTTCCACACTCGTTGCAGCATCCCCGTGATCACGAGTACAAAATCCGGACACTTGGCAACTGACTCGTATTTATGACGATCGCAGTGTCCCGTGATTTTGCGACCTTCTGACAGGCAAAATCAACAGAGATTCACTTAATGACTATGTTACTAACTTTACAACCACAGTGAATCACTTAACGACTGTGGCAAGAAAGGTCGTAAAATGAGAAAAAGTAACTTAACAAGTGTTTCACTGAACAACAGAAATTTGGGGGACAATTGTGGTCGTAAGTGGAGGATTACTTGTTCTGTGACCACCCTGCAGTTGTGGGGAGCCCACTCCCCAGGTTCTCAGGGCCCTCCCTTCTTTCAGAGGTCCCAGTTCCAGGGGAGGAGAGGGCAGAGAGAGGAAAGCAGAGACAGGAGGAGGAGATCTAGAGAGCAGAACAGACTACCAGGGAGTGGATCACCGGAGCAGATCTGCAGTTCAAACACATTCATTGCTAATTGTATTCAGTCCTGCTCTCCAATAATTTCAGGTTTCATTTGTTTCACACAACCTACAACTTTCTTATCTCTCTATCTCTCTCTCTATCTATCTATCTATCTACAAGTAGAAGGAAAGAAGTAACAGTATAGACATAGACATGGACACATTTCATGGACACATGAAAAAAAATGGCACAAATAAAAGGAAATAAATAAGCAAAACATAGCCATAAACACATAGAATGATTACATATAAACGGGGACAGTAGGACAGGGACGGTAGGCACACTGATGCGCTTATGCACGCCCCCTTAGGGACCCCTTAAGAAACGTGAAAGGTCCACGTAGACAGTTTAAGGTGAGAGATCTGGGGGTTAGAGAGACTAACAACAGGATCAGGTAGAACAGTGTTTCTCAACCTTGGTAGCTTGAAGATGGGTGGACTTCAACTCCCAGAATCCCCCAGCCAGCAGCTACCAAGGTTGAGAAACACTGAGGTAGAGCGTTCCAGACATTTACTACTCTATTGCAGAAGTCCTATTTCCTACAATCAAGATTAGAGCGAATTACATTGAGTTTGAATCTACTGATAGCCCTCGTGTTGTTACGGTTGGAATCAAAGGACTCATTTACAGGCAGGACCTTTTGGTAAATAATCTTATGAACTAAGCTTAGGTCAGAACGTAGACGGCGTAGTTCGAGGCTATCGAGGCCTAAAATTTCAAGCCTGGTGCTCTAGGGAACATTATTTCGAGCGGGGGATTTGAGGACTCTTCTAGTAAAATGTCTTCTGCAGTTTAACTGCCGTCATTTGGGAATCCGTCCCGGTGGTGAGAAACATTTCTCATTTAAATCTGAACAGTTAAATGGCTTTCGTTGCTATCATTACGCAAAGTATTAGAACCGTCTCTCATATCTGAAAATGCCCAGGTCTTGACGGTGGTGAGAGATACGTCTCGGCTTCGTCTCTTGAAAAGACTCCGTGTTTTACTCTCTGATCCTGTCAGGGAAAGCAAAGGAGGGCCAGAAACCAGCCGGAAAGGATTTGGAGGCTGTCGGGAGTGAAAAGCCTCGGATTAATATGGAAGTTCCTGTTCTCGTAGTCAGCACCAGAGGGATAAACAACAATGCTGATTCACCCAGGCTCCGTTTTCATGATGGCACAGCCTTAGCCAGGCACTCAAAGAGGTACTTTGGCACCGCCAACAGCCAACATTTAATTCCATGTAGTTGAAATCTAAGCTGATGGTCCAGTCGATCTGAATTTACTCAGAGCAAATGCCCAGATTTCTTCATTAACTATTTTTCATCAGTTAATCAAGATCGCCCTCTTCCGGCTGCTGCTGGAAAACCACTTGAATCCTGATGAACTGTATTCAAAAAGATTTATACGCCTAATAAGAATATTCATGTCTCAAAGCCTTACAAATGCTTTTGTTACAGCCTCCACTGCAGCTACTGGCTTGGAAAATAATACGGTATCAGAACATCTATAGACAGGTTGTCTTGAATCCTGATATTTATATTTCTGACATAACATTGATCTGTAACAGAAGCCTTGCAGAGACCATAGGACCAAACTTATAACAACAATAATAACTAAATAAATTATCCATGCTCCAGAAACAAGCAATGACACTCCTTAAAAATGGATTAAGGAAAGGTTGGTCTCCCTGGCCCTTATTCCTATTCTGGATCAAGGTTACCATACACCAGGAACTACTGATTGTCAATGGAAGGCGATTCAAGAATATTAAAAGGCAATTTATGACACAGCATTAATAGCAATGCCAACAGCACTTGGACTTATATACCACTTCACCGTGCTTTACAGCCCTCTCTAAGCGATTGACAGCATATTGCCCGCAACAATCTGGGTCCTCATTTTCCCGACCTTGGAAGGATGCAAGGTTGAATCAACCTTGAACCAATCAGGATCGAACCCCTGGCTGTGGGCAGAGTCAACCTGCAATGCTGCATTCTAACCACTGGGCCACCATGGCTCTTAATTAATCCAGTAGTTTTGTTGTGCAGTTTGGAGAGTGTGGTTGTGTGTGCCAGGTAGGAGGGATGAAAATTTTCAGTTAACATTGCTCTGGTTTTCAGAATCCTTTTACAACACTCCAACCAGAAACTCAACACCAGTGAGATGAGGACCATGACTTTTAAGGCAGTGTTTCTCAATCTTGGCAGGTTTAAGATGGGTGGACTTCAATTCCCAGAATTCCCCAGCCAAGTCCACCCATCTTTCAAGCAGACTAGAGCATCAGATGGTAGACTTGCTTATCTGTGACCCCAAAGGATATTAACCAGGGGTGAAATCCAGCAGGTTCTGACAGGTTCTGGAGAACCAGTAGCGGAAATTTTGAGTAGTTTGAAGAACCGGCAAATACCACCTCTGCCTGGCCCCAGAGTGGGGTGGGAATGGAGATTTTGCAATATCCTTCCCCAGGAGTGGGGAGGGAATGGGGATTTTGCAGTATACTTTCCCTGCCACGCCCACCAAGCCACGCCCACAGAACCGGTAGTAAAAACATTTGAATTTCACCACTGATCTTAACACTCCATTATCTTCTCCTATTAAATGGAAAATGCCCCATGTTTTCCCCCAAGGCTCCCACAATTACATAAGAGAAGCCTCTTACATGAAGCAGATGGGCAATTGATAAAAAGTTGAAGTTGGAGTTGATGGATTCGCAATTTTGACACAGATCTTTCAAGCAAGTCCAAGCTGCCATCATCAGAGCCAAACACATCATGTGGCAGGTCCATTATGCTGAAATGCAGATAGAATTGGTGGTTTCGGGACGTGCTTGAGAACTTCAGATTTGGCATCACTTAGAGAACATGATGCATGCTGAAACTATCCCAAAAACCTGGACTGAATCTTCTGAGTTGTTTGTGTCCATTTTTTTTAAACACCCCCAATTGTTGCCTAATGGTACTTAGGTAATTTTATGGCCGAGTGCCACTTGCTTAAGTCCAGGCAACGGATTTGAACTTTGGGAAGTCAGGAACATTTGTTTCTGATAGGGATTGGAAAATCAGATTAAGTTCTAACAGCTGCAACAACTGTCTTAACACAATGTTTCTCAACCTCATTGGTCTGGACTTCAACTGGCTGGAGAATTCTGGGAGTTGAAGTCCAGATGTCTTAAAGTTTCTGAGGTTGAGAGAACAACCTTATGGTTAGATTAATCTAAATGATCTCTCCCCATGACCGTTCAGGTAGAGTATTTCGTGTCTTCTGAACACCGTTTGTAAGGGGAATCACATCTCCTTCACACTTCTCTAACATGATCTGTAGGTCAGTCATCTCAACATTTGGCTCCAGGTTGGCAACACAGAAAGCCAGAGAAATTTCAGGTATCCTACCCATTTTGATTATGCCACAGCTCCCATTTAGATCCTGTCCTAGAAATATCCAGCAAATCCAGTGCTATTATTTTAAAATTGAAACTTCTGCAAACAAGCCTTCACGTCTCCCTTCCATACTCAGAGACAGGAAAGCATGCTCTACTTGGGATAACAAATACCCAGAAATCATAAAGTCCAGAAGACAGTAAGGAGAAATATGTGCACTTATAAACATTTAACTGCCCTCGAAACAAGCACCACTGCCTGAGCGCTGCTCCTTGTCATTATGTATGAATGTAAGTAGTAACCTTGTGGTAAGATGGGCGTCAATTGAATTTTATAAATAAATAAAAAGAAATGTATTGCCAAAAGCAATTTGGTTTCTTTAACAAGACAGAACAAAAGTTAAGAATTTGGTAGAGCAGAATGTTTAACCTCGCAGTGGACACGCTGAGTTTATGGCAGAATAGCTGTGAAATAAAATAAACATTTCAACAACCTTAATTAAGGTAAGTACTTGGGGGTTTGGCAGGGAAGCCACATTTTGGAAGGCTCTGGACCTGGTTCACACCCAAGGAGGCATGTATGTACTAGAGCAGAGATCTCCAACCTTAGCAACTTGAAGCCGGAGGACTTCAACCCCCAGAATTCCCCAGCCAGCTGGCTAGGGAATTCTGGGAGTTGAAGCCCTCCAGGCTTCAAGTTGCCAAGGTTGGAGACCCCTGTACTAGAGTCAAGAAAAGGTTTCTGAGAGGTTCCCTGTTTCTCATGTCCTGTTCGGAGGAGGAACCAAAGCTTTAAAAGCAGGAGAAAAAAAACCTGCATTCTTGCTTTTCATAATGATCAGCAGTAGTTGGAAAATTCCCTTCCCAATTCTACAAGGGTAGTGTGGAGAATAACCTTCTGAATTCTTACATGTGGGCCTATCTTCCAACGAAGGATCAAAAGACCATCGGCACCATCTCTGCATGG